ATAAACCCTGATACATATTTACAAAAATAACCCTGTACCATACCGCAGAGCCACGACCCCCGCACCCCCAACCCACATAATCGTAACCCCTTTTACGAGACTTTCCTTTACCGGTATATTTATGAGCCAAACCTAATATTTACAAAAATAACCCTGTACCATACCACAGAGCCACGACCCCCTCACTCTCAACCCACATAATCGTAACCACATTGTTAAATATCACTCATTTATAATATTAAGATTGTATTAATATTACGACCGATGTTATATGAACTTATAAGATTATACTTTATGATTGAGTAAAATGATTTATAGTGTACATATTTATAAAAAATAGTCACATCTATATAAATACAAAAATGAAAATGAGACATATAAAGAACCTTTTTATGTAAGGGACTTATTCTTAAGTTGACATGGAGTTTAAGTATATGAATATTGTGATTAATGGGAGGATATGATATCTTTAGTGTCATATTTTAAATTTGTTTTGATTACTTAAAATTAACGATGACAATGATATATTATCGCAAGAAAATATTATATTATCATTGAAAAATAAAAAAATATCATATCAGAATTATTACTGAATAATTAATGAATGATGATTAAAATTAAATTAATATTTTTTTGAAAAATAATTGTTGAATGATTAAAAATTAAACAATTGGAGAATGACCAAATAGATAATTTAACCAAAATATTATTATAACCTTAGTTTGGACCCCCATGGTGACTTCCAGTGCGTATCCAGAAAGCTCGTGTGAAATCTCCATGGCTTCTTCAACTTGCCTTCTTCTTCGTCTTTATATACTCTCTCCTCTCCACTGATGGAATCATCAACCCACAAACAACATTATTCTAATGGCTTCCTTGGAAGAAACATCGGCCTTGGAACTCATCAGCCAATACCTCCTCTATAACACCCCAATTTAGGGGCTAAATTTTAGGAATTATAAAGTATTGGATTTAATTGGTATTTTGAAAGAAATGGTGGATTAAATTGTAAAATTTCAAAGTTGGCATACCATTTTAAGAAGTGAATAAAGTTCAGTGGCTAAACTCATAGTTTAACCATTTTTCTTTAGGAGATAATTATAAACTCTCTCCCTATGTTGGAGATTGCATTTTTCCAGTTTTCCTCTTCCCCTCAACCCCTTTTTGAACTCCGATCTACTCACCGTCTGGCGTCCGATCGATGAACCGAAACACCATCGTGTTCGTTGTCGACCGAGGAACAAAACTCCTTAAACCTTTTGTCGTCAATCAGTGTCGTTCGTTGTTAATTTCAGTCGGAAGTATCGTCAGTAATAATTCGATTTCAGTTGGTTTTTCGTCGATTCACGACGATCTGAAGATCCGTTTTCGACACCTCCCGCACCATCGTGTTCCTTGCATCATTCCGAGTTCATCGGTGTTCTCCGTTTCTCCGTCGTCGCCAGCGCGTGGAGGGGTGAGACCGTCAAAGTTTCCGACGTTTCAGAATCGAGCTCTCCGTCGTTCAAAATTGTGAACCGAGCTTGGTAAGTGTATCAAAATGCCTTAAAATAATTTTTAGCAATTTTTTCGGGAATTTTCCGACACCGTATCACTGTTCACGTGCCCCACGCGCCACCCCCGAGAGTGGGCATCGTTTGGTTGTAATTAATTTATGTTTGGGTGCTATTTGTGTAAAATTCGGGTGTTAGTTTCGTAAATATTTGTAGAAGGTGGCTAATTTTGTAATTAATTTCTGTTAGGGCAATATTTGTATAAAATAGTCGACTGTTGACCGTTGACTTGCATTGACCGTTGACTTGCATTGACCGTTGACCACAGTTGATCAGAACTTAGATCAGCGTTGAATGGGCATTAAACAACCTTTGACTTTGACTGAGTATACCTATCCTGACATTTTTCGACATTCCAAATTCGATTATGCAGTCTGTTTTTCGAAATTCGGACCCGAAGGCCTCGAAATTGCCAGTCAAACCCATTGACTTTGACTTTGACTAAAAATTCCAAATTTTCGAAAAGTCATATTTTATGTTTTCGACGTCCTGAATCCGAATCCGAAGTCTGTTTTGCCAAATTCAAACCCAATAAGCTATTTTTCACTGATTTATCATCTGATTCGATCCGTTTTTCAAAATTAAGCTCCGTTTTATATGTAATTTCTGTTGATATGGATCCGAGGAAATATTGGAAGATGATTTCAAGATTGAGGGCGTTTGAATAGACTTTAATGGTCGATCAGTATTGCACGGAAATCGAGGTAATATTTTACTACCTCTTTATGCTTTATGGAACATGTGAATATTGGTAAATGCATGAATAAGATAATGTTGATCTCATTTGGGTAGTTAATGAATTTCTACACTCGATCCAAACACAGTAGGAATTTGGTAACTGATTATGGTTCAGAGAACTTTTATAAGAAATTGAGGAATTGTTAGAATTAAATTACAAGTTTATGATTAGTGATAAAGAAATCAGTCATGGATTTGTAACTTATATTTTATATCATCAAAGGTCAAATGTTAAAGGTACTCGGATGGGAAATTATGAGAATACTCCGGTAGGGTAAAATTAAGAAAATACCCTTAAGTTGTAAGATGTCAAGAATTGTCTCTAGAAGTTGATTAATAACTCTGAAAGGATATATTGATATGATAAAACTACAAATGTGCATAAGAAATGCTAGTTTGCTTAGAAAATTTGGATAATCGGTTTTCAACCCCAAGAGGGTTTATGCACGATACTAGAAGTCTGTTAAGGAATCATTTCAAGATTTGAGAATGTTCTGAAAAGAAATTAACCATAGGATCTTTGAATTATAGTTATTTTCTTAAAGAGTTAATACTGAAATTATCTGGTAAAGAAATTACGAAAATGCCCTTCAGAGGTAAAATAGTGAATTATAGTTATTTTGAGGATTCGTATTTAACTCGATTAAGTACGGATTTGGTTGTTAAGATCTTGACTTAGTGAATAAAAATTCTTGATATTCCGTTGGTCAAAATCTGAGAAGGCACTTGACCCGAAAATATCCGAGTTTTGAGTAAATACCTGAAGAACAGATTATCGGGGGTGTTCTTTTGTCAGAATTGTTCGAATGGACTGATATAAATGATAAGTTTGAATTCAATAATAAGATCGGACAGAAGAAAATGATTGTAATACGTTGGATCTGTAAAATGACCAAAATACCTATAATGGAAATAACCCAAGAATATCACCAAGCTCAGGAATGATTGGATATCTTCGAGCTCTAAGATGATTGGAATAAAACTGAGCACCAGAATTACTAAAATACCCTTATGGCCTAGACTAAGTAAATGTTTTGGATTAATTAAGGAATCCAAGTAAATATAGGTATTGTATTACCCTTAAAAGTTATTGATCACAAATTAAGTGAGTTAATCAACCTTAATGATATGTCAGTACCTGATTTGCACAGATATTACTTGAATGAGTGTTCATCTATTCAAGTTTGGCTCGATGATAATTTTTGGAAGTATTCCGCTCAGCTCAACTCTAAATCGCGTTAAGCACTAAGAATTGAATATTTGTTCGACAAATCAACCACGAAGACCGAACTCAACAGAAGTACAATATGTATCCGAAATTTAGAGACGTCTAAATTAATCTGAAAAACTCTGAAGTAACTGGAATGGATTTGACTACTAAGTGAAATAATTAACCTCAATAACTAAGATTTTAATAAGTGATTTGGATGAGTCTAGAAACGTAAATGAACATACACGATGTATTGTTCTTCTGAATCATGAACTACAAATCAAGCACGTCAGTATTTCATGATATAGTGGAAGCGTAAAAATGAAATAAAGACATTGGAAGATCTATTCAGTGATGATTCCGAAGATGATCTATGGATAAGCATTTTTGGTATTAAAGTGTAAATACCCTAGAAGGACAACGAAATGACCAGTCGATAAGTATTAGTTCTGGGAACTATTCATCTATGAGTTGTTCGATAATCCGATCAATCGACATAGATTGTAAATGTCTTGAACTTTCAATTCTTTCTTATCAGTCCGTTAGTTATTGAACTATTCCTCTAGTGATTCTAAATTCTGACATTCTATCGGTAAACTGAAGATCCTTATTTCTTTGCACAATAAGATTATCCAGTATCTCTGAAGAATATCTGATAAATATTATGATCCTCTAGTGTGTTCCACATGTACTACATGACAGTTTTATATGTTTCAAATGAGTTTAACGAAAGTATTTATTTATTGGTTTATGAACCATGGCAACATGGTATGTGATCTCCGATTATGGTTTTCATCGAAAAGTATGAATTGTACATGATTTATGAAATAATGAAATTTACTGGTTTATGAATTATGGTTACCTGAAATGTGTTATCTGGTTTCCTGTTTTCACTGGAAAATATGAATTGTTCCTTATTTATGGAATCATGGAATTTAGTAGGTGTGCAGGTGGGTGTAAGGTTCTGTGGAACCTACACATTACGGAGTGTTGGTTGGAGGGAATAATATGGTTTTTAATAAACGTTTTATGGGAGGGTGTTGTTGGAGGAAGTTATCGTTACTGCAGGCTCCTCTGCTTTGTGCTCAGGGTAAATCCTTATTTGGTGTGTAGGTGGGCGTATGGTTATGGGGAACCTACACATTATGGAGAGTTTGGTTGGAGGGATTAATATGATTTTTGAATAAAAATATGTTTTTAAACTACTACCGTTATATTATCATTGAAAAATAAAAAATATCATATCAGAATTATTACTGAATAATTAATGGATGATGATTAAAATTAAATTAATATTTTTTTGAAAAATAATTGTTGAATGATTAAAATAAAAATTAAACAATAAGAGAATGACCAAATAGATAATTTAACCAAAATATTATTATAACCTTAGTTTGGACCCCCATGGTGACTTCCAGTGCGTATCCAGGAAGCTCGTGTGAAATCTCCATGGCTTCTTCAACTCTTCGTCTTTATATACTATCTCCTCTCCACTGATGGAATCATCAACCCACAAACAACATTATTCTAATGGCTTCTTTGGAAGAAACATCGGCCTTGGAACTCATCAGCCAACACCTCCTCTCTGATTTTGCTCACCCCCATAAGTCTTCTCTCAGCCAACGCCGTCCTTCTCTCAACGTCACCATCCCTCCGCCCACACAGGTTAACGTGGCTGCTGACAAGAAAAGGCAGCACTACAGGGGTGTGAGGAGACGGCCGCGGGGCAAGTTCGCCGCTGAAATCAGAGACCCTAACAGAAAAGGCTCCAGGCTTTGGCTTGGAACTTTCGACACCGCCCTTGAAGCTGCTAAAGCTTATGATAGAGCTGCTTTTAAGCTGCGTGGAAGCAAGGCCATTTTGAACTTCCCTCTCGAAGCAGGCGAATCGAACTCGACTCAGTCTGAATCAACTGATGACTCGTTCTCTAAGAAAACAAAAAGAGAGGAATACGGAGAGAAGAGCGTGGAGGGTAAAGCAGTGAAGATAGAAGAGGTGACGGAGATGGAGACGGGAAGTGTGACGACGTCAGCGGTATGTTTAACGCCGTCAAATTGGAATGGGGTTTGGGATTGTGTAGATATGATCATACCTCCGTTATCACCTTTGTCTCCGTTTGGGTATGGACTAACCGTTATCTAGCCGTTACTACATCGCGATAGACATGCTGACGTGGCTGGTTGAATTATCCACCGTATACATGAAGAGGAGTGTAGGGTTCAAAAGCACTGCTGAAACCTAATCTTTTTTGTTGAATTAAAAATTGTTGTATTTGTTTCTCTATTCGTTTATTTAATGAAATTATTATGTTTTGATTTCAAAAATATCTAAATAGATATTATTATTTGAATTCTTATTGAGTTGCTGTAGTGAATCGATGGTATTAATTTGAAATTGGTTTTTAATAATATAAATATTATCATATGAATGTTTTTTCCGTATTATTTTATAATATTTAAATAAGATAACAAAAAATATCTCTTGTTAGGATAAAATACATTCCTCATAAAAATCTATACAAATATTAAGAATAAATTTAAATGAATATAATTTTATAATTTTATAATGACGTGTTAATATCAAAATTATTGATAGTGTGTAAAATTATCTATAATTAATAAAAATATATTAAATTTAAAATTTAGTAAGACGTATTTGAGCATTGAAGCTCATATATATATATAGTTCACTAGTGGGGTGGTGCTGAGGCTGATCATTATTGGCAACAAATACAATCTTGATAACTTGGCACTTTGGGAGAAGATGCATGCATGCATGCATTAATATATGATTTGGAATATGAACGGAAGTAAATTTTATGTTAGGGATATAAATCTTTAAAAGTAATATATTAAAAATTTAAATATATATATAATTATAAATTTCAAAGCAATATAAAACTAAATTATAAAATATATAATAAATACTTAGAAATTAGGATGAAGCTGTCAGATAAAACGACAATCAACTTAATGAGTTGGTTGGGTGTGGATCCCTCCAACTAGTCAATCCATTTGCAAAGAGTTTTACTTTTGTCTCTTGCATGTCGACATCCATATGGCTTGCACAAGTTGGAAGGTCCCAGCAGCCACCGGGTCGAATTGAATTTTGTACGGGTGAGATCATATACGGTAAGTTAATTTTGAGTTTAAAACAAATTTTTTTTGACTTAATTCCATTCGAGTAATAGTATTATTATTTTATATATTTAGAGATAATTCATATAATATTTTTTTTTATATTTTTTAGTAAGATCTCTATTTTATCTAATAAAAATAATTATATATATTAATGTTGAGTTGAATATAAGTTTTAATTAAAAAATTTAGATTGAATCAAGTTTAGTTGAAAAAATATGTACTTCGAGTTAGTTTTGATAAGGTGAAGCATATATATTTTTGAATTAGATTAAATCAGTTTTAAATGATGAATATATGATTTTCAAATTAAATTAATAAAATATCAGATCCTACCGGAACAGTTGTGATCTGTAAGGAGTAAAACACAATCTTTTTCACATATGTTGTGTCTAGTGCCAACTTGAACAACCCTACCCCATCTTGCCCTAGTTTTATTTGTCAATGGATAAGATCATCCTTTCCCAGCACATGATGTTGTGTGAAAACCGTGTGCTCCAACAGTACAACTTCATATATATATGCAGATTGATGCACCAGAGATTGTTGAGGACCTTTAAAAATGGCTACCCTGGAGGAATCAACAACAATCGAGTTCATCCGGCAGCACCTGCTCGGCGACTTTGCCTCTGCCGATGCTTTTATAAACACCCTGGACTTCGGTCTATCTCAGCTACACGAAGCTGCTGAGTTAGAGTCTCCGGGTTCCGTGATTTCGGACTCAATGAGGAACGAGCCGAAGGTGTCGCTTTCCGAAGAGAGGAGGCGCTATCGAGGCGTACGGAGACGGCCGTGGGGAAAGTTTGTGGCGGAGATTCGAGACCCCAACCGGAAGGGAAGTAGGGTCTGGTTAGGTACATTCGATAGCGACGTCAACGCTGCCAAGGCTTATGATTGTGCGGCGTTTAAGATGAGGGGTCAGAAAGCTATATTGAATTTTCCACTCGAAGCCGGGGAGGGTAGCCTGCCACCAGCTGCTACGGGGAGAAAAAGGAGAAGAGGGAAGGGAATTCAGTTGCAGGAAATTGACGTCACGTCGCCGGATAGTATGGCTTGGGATGTGAAGGAAGAAGAGGGTGAGGTAGATGATGATGATGATGATCAGAATGGACTGTCATTATTAACCAGAAAACGTGTTATGGTGACATGTTAATGTGAGCTCTGTGATTTGAGTTAGATTAGAGAAAAATACATCTAGTGAAGTTATAGTATCCCCCACCCCCTTTCCTGGGAAAAGAATCCCAATCAAATGTTTTAGATTAAGTGAAAACCCCCATATTTTTTAGGATGAAATGATGTAAGAATTCAATAACACATTGTACATGAATTGTATGTAAAATTGCAGTTAAAATTTTATGGGAAAGTAATATATGAGTTCGATTTTAGATATAGATATATTTATTATGCATATGTGTATATTAGATTGTTTGAATTGAATTATTTAAAGAATACATGTCATCTTATATCTCTAGGTCTATAAATAAGATGAGACAGATCTTAAGTCATGTTCTTGAGTTTGACTCGATCAAAGCTCTGTCAATATCCAAATCAAATAGACTTGGTTCGAATTTGAACTTGACTCGAGTTTTTAATGAGCTGAAACGAGTTACTTAATACATGACTCAAAAAACTCACGAGCATCTCGAAAAAAGAATATATTAAATTTTTATTTTTTAAAATTAAAATATTAATAATGTTAATATTTATATGTTATTTTAAAAAAATGCAATATAAGATTTTCATGTACTTAAGATTCAAATTTGAGCTTGAATCAAATTCGAGTTCAAGCTTCAATCAAGTTAAGCCTCATATTATTTCAAGTTCAAGTAGAGACCCTTCAGATTCAAATAGAATCATGTTTTTTTACCAACTTAACGGTGATGTTGACGTGACACTATAAGGTAATATCACATCATGTTGACGTGGCACTATAAGGTAATATCACATCATCTTTAAAAAAAATCACATCAGTAGTTTTGTTATTTTTTTAACTGTAGGAACCAAATTGAAACCTAAACTAAACATTAGGTATGATTATGAAAATAAATAAAGTTTAAATACCAAAATGGAACAAAAGTAATATTTTATATACTAGACATGTAGTTTACATAAATTGTAAGGTGACGTGGATAAATCTGGTGCTTGTATTGTGATTGTTTGATCAGTTAATATGCACCGCAAGATCTTCTGACTTCCCCCTCTATGGTTTCTGAGTGTGGTTCAGGGTTTAGGGCTTTGAAAGCTGAAGCAATACTATTTACTACTCAGTATTGTAAAAGGAATCTGATTTTGTTTCTCGATAAAGGATGTTGCCTCGATGGAGCAGAGCTTTAACCCATTTCTCAAAGCTACCATCATTCAATTCATTTGGATCAGGCAAAGATTTTAGTGTGTCGCCAAAGCTATGCTGTTGTGGAACCTGCTGGCTGCTGCTGTTGCTGATTCAATTGGCAAATCTTTGCCTAACAAATCATCGGTAATTTATTGTCTTTTCAAAAACCCAATAAGAATTTATATGTAACATCTCAAACTACGAGTTAATGATTAAATTATAAAATTTTAGAATTTAATGATTAAAATAAAATAATTGAATAGCTCAAGAATTTATTTAGATATATTTGATGAAGGGTTGTTAGTAATTATTAAAGGAAATAAAGGACAAAATGATCATTTGACTTGAAAATGATAAGATAATGATATATATGTATGAGGATAAGGATAAGGAGATATTTTCTCCACTTCTTCATATTCTTTCTTCTTCTCTAACGTGAAGCACCCAAAATGAATGTAAGTTTTCTGATTAGTTGATTATTTGTTGATTTTAAGTATGTGTTTTGATCATTAATTGATACTTAAGCTTAAGGAAAGTTTAAGTTGTCTTAAAATCAAAAGATGAAGAAGTTATGAAAGATTAAAGAGAATGTGTTTTTAAGTTAATTTCTGGAAAAGAGTTGATAAGTTGAATTTGAAACTAAATTTTACTTGTCATCAACTTAATTAAGAGATATGAAGTGATAAAATTGGATTTAGAGTATCTTGAAAATTTGGTATGATTATTGATTTCCATATGAAATATGGAATTTTGAGGTTAAGGATGTATTGAATGAGTAGAAATTAGTTTAAGTATATATATTTGAGTTAAGAACAAAAAGGGAATGAAACATGAAGAATTTTAATAAAAAGTTGTGGAATTTTCGGGTGAAACCAATTTATTATTGACAGGTGCATCGGTACACTATGAATGGGTACCGATGCACTAAGACTAATTTTGAAGGCACATCGATACACACTAGCAGGCATCGATGCATGAAAATTTCAAAGTTATTTTGGGTATCAGTACACTTCTAAAGGAAAAGTTAAAGTTGGTTTATTAAATTAACCTAAGTTATTAATACCAAGTTATAAGGTTTAGGCTTCTGATAATCGTCTCAGAAATTATGTTTATGTAGATATTGAGCCTAAACGAGTTCCGGAACAATTGAAGAATTATGATCGAATCAAAACAAGCAAGGCTAAGGTGAGTGCAATTTAAGTTGTATTTATGTTATTGATCAAACATTGGCTTGCGATGAGCCAGTGACAGAGTTACTATGGTAAGAAGTAACTTCTAAAATGTTATTTGATTTGTAATTGATATGATGCTTATGTATGCATGAGTACATGGAAATGCGTATAGTTGTCATATGTTATTATATGTGACATGATTTACATGATTACGTGTATATGCGATATGTGATACTGAACTAAATGAATATATGAAAAATATGATATCAACTATGTAATATGTCTAATATGTTATTATATGTGCTATGTGATGTATATATGAATAGGATATGACATACGTACATGAACAAATGAGAAATGATATAAGCCATATGAAACGATCTACGTGATTATATGTAATACGTGATTACATGCACTTGTAATACATGTTATATGACATGATATATATGTTTACACATACATGTAATATGTGACAGAAGAGAAGGAACATGTGATTATAAAAGAAACGATATGAATATAAGAATGTTATACTATGATCTATGAGATCATATAAAAATGATACAAGTGATATGAAATGTTATAAATGATAATGCCCATGTTATATGGTAAGAGAGCCATAGGTATAGTTGGCATGCCAAGAGTCGAGGGTCTACGCAGTCCTTCGGGACATATACAATATACAGAGGTCCTTCGGGACAAATACATAGGTCACTCAAGACAAATTTCACATGCCCCGAGTGAGACCCCATACGAGCTGTGATGACAGCAATAGTGCACAACCTCAATGTACTCGAATACATTGAGTTCTCAGTAATATACATAGGCCTATAAAAGATATCAAAAGTGTATGTATTATTATATGTGTTATATGATATACCGAAATGATAAGTACAAGATCATATGATAAATGGGTTAATGATAATGGTAGAGATCGTGATAATGATGATATATATGCATGTATGCATAATGTTATATGAAATGTTCTATAGTTTTATTATATGTTTTATATGCCTCTCTAAGTCAACGACTTAGCGTGTGATTATTTCACACGTAGGTTTCGAGAAGAGGAAGATTGATAAAAGTTATGCAAGACAGGTCAGTTTCTCCTTTCCAAAGATCATATCAGAAAAGAAATGAATAATCTGTATTTTGTAATACTAATTATGGTTGGCATGTAAATAAAGGTTTGAATCCAATATGTTCTAATCGGTTTTGTAAAATCATATGATCGAGTTTCGTAATGTTTTAAACGTATATATGTAAATGTTAAATGTATAGTGATGAAAGTTTAATTTTTTATGAGTTTTATATAATTTAAGCTGAAATTACTGTAGCAGTGCATCGGTACACTGTAGCAGTGTATCGGTACACTGTAGCAGTGCATCGATACACAATTTATATTCACTATTTTTGTGTATCGGTACACTGTAGCAGTGCATCGGTACACTGTAGCACTGTTTACGGTACTGTTCATACCATATATTATTGTTCATAAAACGTTTTTGCCTTAAATTTTTATAATGAAACATAATTCAATAGTATATTATTGTATTTTCTTAATATAAGTCCAAATTTTCTATTATTTTGTAAGAATATTGTTTCAAAAAGTCAATGTGACATCTCGAACTCGTATCCGGGTCGGGTACGGGTTGGGGGTGTTACATTATACGAATATATATCTGGAAGATCTTGTTTTTGGGTGGCTGATGATCTGGGTTTTTGATTTCGAGTAGGTGAATTTGGATAAAATGTTCAGGTAAAAGTAAGACGAGACTAGGAGTAGTTAGAAAGAGAAGCTCCTACTTCTCTCTAAAAGGTTGGGTGTTTTTGGGGATCCCATTAGTTCTCAGGTATGCGTTCTGCCGTCCGCCAATGCTATTCATCGTTGATCGTCGTCCGTCGCCATACTCCGACCATCTTTCGTCGCCATTTTTCTCAGGAAGTCCATCTCGTCATTGTGATTCTACTTTCGAACTTAGTTCTGCGAAAAATCCTTCAAACGACGCAAATCTACCTTTGAAGGTCGTTTCTTCATTTTTGTCGGGGACTTTTGGAGACCGTTTTCTCAACACCGGTGGCACCGAAAGGTACACCGTTCGCCGATCTGCCGATCTAGAAAGCTCGATCACCATTCACCCAGCACGTGGATAACCATTTCCAGTGCCAATTTTCTTGCTGCTGTCTCTGGAGTATTCCGATCATACCCTACTGGAAATTCTACAAAATCCCGCTTTTCAGTTCTAGGAGATTTCAACTTCGTTAGTCCGATAGTACTAAAAGGTTAAGTTTGAATCTGTTTTGTCTTTGTTTTAAAGTTGATTTGTGAAATATGAGTGATCATTTCAATGGGTTTTGGGCTGAAATCAAAAATAATGACGGGAGGAATGACAGTAGTGTCTGGAGGAAGGTTAACAGTTCACGGGAGAAGGAAAAATACATACCAACAAAAAAAGGAAATTAGGGATGGATGTTATACGCTATTTGATGAAAATATTCCTGAGAATCTTCATTGGAAAAAGCTTAGCTCTCTTTCTTGCATCCATGGAAAGGTGATTGATGCTTTCATTTATTCTAAAAAATATATACGAGGGATTCGTTTTGGATTTATCAGATTTTCTTCATTTGAAGAATCCAAGAAAACAATTGTTAAGATGTATGACTCTTTTATTTTTGGACGCAAGATTGGAGTTTCGATGACAAAATATAAGCCCAGGCAATCCTTTTTAGAGAAGAACTAATACATCCTTTCAGCGGAATGATAGGGAGGTAGCTGACAAGAAGAGTTACCTATCCTCGATTAAAGGGGTGGTTGATGAAGATAAATTATGAGTACTATAAAATTGCCTTGTGAGTTGGTGTAGAAATTTTGTCTCAATCTCGAACCTTGCAAGACAAATGCATGAAAAAGGCCTTAAGGGTTTTTCGTTGATAAGAGCTACTGGAAATGTTGTCCTAATGTGTTTTGAATCCTCGATGTTACTGAATAAAATAAAGGTAGAGAATTCGGAGTCTCTGGTAGTGTGGTTTGACAGGGTTGAATCATGGTCAAAAAACTTGATAGTAGAGAGTCGACATATATGGTTTGTTTGCGAAGGTATTCCTTTTCATGCTTGGAGTTGGGATACCTTTACAAACATTGCATCAAAGTGGGGGGGGGAATTATTGCAATAGATGACAAATCCCAATATCTATCGTCATTTGATCGGGTGAAAATCCAAATCTTCAATAATATCATCTCTAGAATTGATGAGGTAGTCCGATTGAAGGTTGAAAGTCAATCGTTTAACGTCCTGGTTCGCGAGATCGTTCCGAGTTTCAAGATTATTCCTTGGGTTCCCGAGAAAGATGAAGAAGACACGATTGTCCCTGACAACGACGAATCAAAAATCCAATGGTGAGTCAAATTGAAGCTCCTCCCACTGGTCGATGTTCCCTTGAGGCTATATCGGGTTCCTCTCCACTTGGATTGATGAAAAACTTTTCGAATCAGATGGGGAAAGAAGTTGTTCCTAGATATGATACCAATGGTGGTGAGATAGGTTTAGCTTCAAGGTCATGTTCAGTTTTGGAGTCTTCCTTATCTTGTGCTCTCGATCGATCAGATCAGAATGTTGGTGAGTCTCATGCCTTGGAAGACGGTGTCAGTAGTGGGGCAATAGGTGATTCTAATTGGTTGCAGGGAGAGGGTCTTCGGAAGGGGTCAAAATACATAAAGAAAAAAAAAACCTCGTTAATCTAAAAGTAGCAAGCAAAAGGCTAAAGTGGCTTAACTGTCTCGGACGAATATTGAGTTTTAGTCTATTAGCGATTTTGGAAGGAGTTTTAATTGATTCGAGTGTGTTGCTTCTCCAAGATATAGATGGTTAGCCATTAGGATTCGGTTGTGTTTTAATCATATTAATGGATTTATGTACTGCTTTTGAAAATTTTTGGTTTTTAGTTATGTGAGGCTTGGGATTTGTGTGAGCGAGTATCATATAGGGTTGACCTTGTAATATTTGAATGTTTAAAGGGGATTTAGAGATTTTATGTTTAGATGTGGTGCATGTATCTTATTAGGGTGTTTTTTCATACAAGGTGTAATGGCTTTATTATTTAATAAATCACGAGGTACTCTTTTCCTCCTTCCAATTTTCGTTGACATACGTTTTAGTAATGTTATCAAAACCGGACCGGACCGACCTGTTCGACCTGTTGCCTGTTCGGTCCGATTAGCCTCCAAAACCAGTTTTGCAATGAACCGCTAAAGAACCAGTAGAACTGGTTGGGAACCAATAAAACCGGTGTGAACCGACGGTTCTATTTTTTTAATTAAACCAAACAACGTCGTTTGTTATGATTTTTTTCAGCCCCAATTTATTTTAGTTTTATAATTATCATAAAAAATGAAGGTTAATTTTTGCTTGTTTATTTTAGTTATATAATTATATTTATTATTTAACATGTTTTACACTTTAACTTTTAATTATTAAGTATTGTTTGAGAATTTAAATTTAACTTTGTATTTATTTATCATATTGTTAGGTGATGAAGATTTTGATCCTGTGGACTTTCAAATTCAAAGTGATGCTATGGAGTTTCAAGTTCAAAGTGGTGATGACGATGGTAGTTCAACTAATGAAGAAGCTTTTCCTAATATTTTGAAATTTGAGGGAATAAATTTCAATGAATATTATAATGATTGATACTTGTATCAATTATGTACTTTTTTTATTTAGTTGTTGATGAATTTCATTAGGTATTGACCTTACATATTATGTTGTAGTTGATTTGAATCATTTTGTTTCACTTGCTATTATGATATTTAACTTATATATGTTATGACTTGTAATATTTTTATAGCTTTTAATATTGTGAACTTAAAAAGAGTGTTATATATATATATATATATATGTTAATATTGTTTTGAATATTATATAAAATCTTAAAAAAAATTATTTTATATAAACCGGTTTAACCCGGATGAATCATTGAACCTACCTTCACCGATTTAAAATCTGGTCCGATTTTAAAATCATTACATTTTAGTATATTGATGATTATGAAGGAGATTTTTAACGAGGCCGGATGGGATAAAGCGAGTGACTAGAGCTCAGAGGCTAGGGGTGTTCATTCGGTTAAAACGGTGGCTGACCGAACCGAATTAACCATAACCGAATTAACCAAACTTTTTTTTTACTTTAACCGTTAACCGAACCGAATTTTTTTTCGAACATATTAACCGAACCGAATAAATTTCGGTTAATTTCGAATTAACCGAATTTTTTTTAAAATTTTCTAATTTATATAAAAATTAAATATTTTTTAATTCAAAAAAAGTTTATAATTAATTTAAATAATAAATAATTATAAAATAAAAATTTTAGATAAAATTTTTAATTAATTAATATTGATTTAAGTTTAAAAGTTATTGGATCTTAAATTATTAATTGATTTTAAATGGTTTAGGCTTAACCCATATGTTATATATAATATATTTAATATTTTTTAATTAAAAAACAGTTTACAATTAATTTAAATAATATATAATTATAAAATAAAAAATTTATATAATTTTTTAATTAATTAATATTGATTTAAGTTTAAAAGTTATTGGATCTTAAATTATTAATTGGGTTTTTAATGATTTGGGTTGAGCCCATATGTTATATATAATATATTTAATATTTAAAATTTAATTTCGATTAATTCGGTTAATTAACCGAATTCGAACCGAATTAACCGTTAACCAAATTCTAAAATTTTTCTTAATCGTTAACCGACCGAATTAATTCGATAACCGAACCGAATTAACCGAATTAATTCAATTCGATCGATTAACCGAATTAATTCAATTCGATCGATTAACCGAATTAATTCGATTATTTGAACACCCCTGCCAGAGGCCTCGCGTTCTTATAAAATAAAATAAAATAAAATGTTCAGGTCCCTTGATCATTGGCTTTACCCCCAGACTCTCCCCTTAGAGTTGGAGACCCAAATTTTGAAGGCCTTAAGCGTATTATTCTCAAGATGATGCTTTTCTATAGTAAACAAAGCAAGTCGATTCGAGGGGCTAATGTGATCTATAGGCGTGTCCTCTCACAATTTGATAAACCTGCTATATATGAAGGTCTCTCTGCTTTATGTTTCGGATTTTCCCTTTGTCGGTAGTAACATCGGCTTTTCGATTGATGTAAATTGAATCCTGTGTCTTTGTTTGTACAGTGTTTAACCTGGAGAAGACCTTACAGACCACGTTTTCTCTGCTTGTACTTCATATGTGGCTCTCTTTACGTCGATTGAAAGCCGAAGGAAAAGAGGGTGTTGAATTAGGACAATATGTGTACGAGATTTACAATCATGATGTTGAGCTCAGAGTATCTAAAGCTGGGGTAAGTCGATATGCTGCTATGGATGAATTAGGATGATAGTTTATGAGGCTTTATTGGTTTGCAAATGAGAATGTGAAAGCTTGAGTAGAGTTTTTGAAGTTAGTTTATTGTCGTTGAAATGGCAGGTTAACTTACTTCTGACGAAATGGATGAAAGAATTGGAGAAGATTTTCTATGGAAATATTGTTGCTTATGATGCTGCCTTGCTGCCGGAGGCTACACGAGTCGAGCTAACAGAGGTTATATGGAGGTAAGATCTTTGTTGGAACTTGTTAATGGCTTTCATGGTTGTCCTCATCGCAACTTCTCTATAAATCCTATGCCCTTGGAAGGAAGATCAGTTTTGTCTAATAATTGGTATGCTTACTATTTGGAATTGTATTAATTGCATGTAATTTGTTATACTGAAACTTGGTGATTTACCTGTGGCCTAAAGCCCTAAACCATGTATGATGGCCACGAAATTGTGATGCAATAATTAAACGCAGTGATTCCCTCATGTTCAACATTGGTTTGAAAATTTTCAGGAATATCTTTTCTGATGATGGTACATCCAAGCCGGATGCTGCTGCGTTACGTACGGTGCAGGCATGTACTTATCTTTTCTTATGGCGTTGTAATTTACAACTATTTAAGATGTGACGTTGGTTCATTTTTTTCTGAGGTATTTTCTTTAGATCCATTTTGAAATGTCAACGTATAAACCTTTCAACCTTTTGGAGAAGACTGACTCTACTGATAACATGAAATACAGTATGAACACCATAAGTTTGTGTTGAGTTGAATGGTCACTGTACGACTGAGTCTTTTCGCTTTTGTCTGCAGGCAATGGAAAGGTATGTCCGTCGTGAAGTTAGTTGCCTCTCATTAACTGGTAGGTTTTGTTTTGTCAGTTCAACAGATGGTGATTGTTTCAAACATCATGGACTCCGAGTTTCGGATGTTGAATCCTTTAGTGATTGTCAAATTCGATGTCTTTAAGCTTAACCCGAAGTTTGGCATCTAATATGCAGATAAAGAAGCTATGTTTTCTGGGAACATCATGTTCACCCCATTGTAGAATAGCTCACCTGATCTAAGGAAAAGGTAGAAAGATGGACGAAGCTGATGTGCTAATTTGAGTTTCCCAGAGTTGCTTCTTGGGAAAAAAGATGGAAAATACTTAAAAGAAAGAAATAATGGTGTCTCATGCTAATTTTTTAGCTGACTCTATTCCCATATGTAATGGGGGTAAGGGGGAGGTAGTACAGTAGGCTGCCCCCAACGCCAGGTTGAGAGCAGCTTCCGTGGGAGACCTCCGGCAGTTAGAAATTATGAATTGCCGTCCAGCTCAGTTGGTAGAGCGCAAGGCTCTTAACCTTGCCTCATGCTAATCTGATATTCTTATAAAGGCTTCATATCATAGTTAAAGTAATTGTTTGCCAGCATTTGTTTATTTTATATGGCAATAGGGGTGATGAACTCGAAATCGATGCATTCTTGTAGCATTAATTTCAAATTATGCAACAAAGTTTGATCGTAACGCCCTTTAATATCTGAAATTCTGTTTGTTCTGGCAGAAATTAGATTTTTTAAAATGATTTCTGGAAAATGTTGGTAGTGGTCGATGGCTTCGAGATTCCCCGAAGCATATACACTTTCTCTAAGGTCTTCCCAGTCATTGGGACTCGGAAGCATCAACATTTCTCCAAGTTTCTCGTCATCTACTTGAAATATGGAGAAGTATTACCCCATGAACTAAGCCAGTGAATGGCACCATTGCAGAACACCCCACCTTCAAATCTAGTGTTAACATAGGCAATGAAATGCTCACCGAAGAGTCTCCAAGAACGAGTCTGAGACGGGTTTATATGTCCATCTGTTTGGTCACACAGTTCGAGTTTGGTTCACATCCCCATTGTGGAGTCATGGGCCAGGGTCTGTTTGGTCATACAGTTTGAGTTTGGTTCACATCCCCACTGTGGAGCCATGGGTCAAGGTCTATTTGGTCATACAGTTCGAGTCTTATTTATCCCTAATGTGCATTAATCTTGGGTCAGGATCTGTTTGATCATACGGTTCGAGTCTGGTTCATTCCCAATGTGGAGTCATGGGTCAGGGTCTGTTTGGTCATACAATTGAGTCTTGTTCTTTCTCAATGTGGAGCCATCTTGGGTCAGGGTCTGTTTGGTCATATAGTTCGAGTCTGGTTCATCTCCAATGTAGAGCCATGGGTCAGGGTCTGTTTGATCATATAATTTGAGTCTTTTGTTAATCCCCAATGTGGAGTCATCTTGGGTCAGGGTCTGTTTGGTCATACAGTTCGAGTCTGGTTCATCCCCAATGTAGAGCCATGGGGTCAGGGTCTGTTTGATCATATAGTTAATTCATCTTCAATTTAAAGTTATGGTTCAGGGTCTGTGTGATCATACAGTTGGAGTGTATGTCCATATGTTTGGCCATTGACTTGCAAGGAATATAAAAACAATGTAGAAAACGGTTGGTTCCTAATTAAAAAAAATCTGGAAAATCCATTAAGGAATATGATTCTTATTCATTATCTGTTGCAACAGACTTGTCTTTAAACAGGTTGCTTTACAAGAAATTTCTCAGTTGGTTTACGTGAAAGTGCTCAACAATTTCAGAGCCAATTTAAAAAGGTTTCTTAATGTTGCTGATCAATACTTTGAATTGGTCAGATACTACACACAGGTAAAGGGACTGATGGGTGCCTTGTCAGGGAAGAAATCAAATAAACTCGGGTGAAATGTTATCTACGATCGCGAGATAGTGAAACAATTAAGCAAAAGCAATAAATGTAAAAAAACTTTAAAAAAAATAAAGGATAAAATAGATAAAATCTACTATATCACAAACCTGACACAATATGTACAAAATCTTACATAAAGCTAGAATCTGGTGGAACCCTTTTCTTATTTGCTTGCTTGCTGCAATTTATGCCAGTTTCGTGCAAGAATCTGGTGGTCAAATGATCAACATGCTGATTTCATGGCTACCTAGTTTTCTTTTCTTTTATAAGCACATAACCTTCAGATAATTGCTTGGCAATTGCACAACAATTTCCGGTGACCTTTATTAATCTTCTAAGCAACTCAAAAGAGAATCCAATCACACTGCATAGACACCACATCGGCTGAAATGGAAGACAACTACAACGATATTCACGCTAACATTCTTGCTCATCTCCCAGAAAAGTCCCTCATTCGATTCCGAGCCGTGTCAAAACACTGGTTTTATCTGATCTCCAGCGCTTATTTCTCTCATTGCCGTAACCGGAGCTTGATGTTTCCCACTGGCATCTTCTTGAAGATGCACTGTTCTTCAAACAAACCCAAATACCACTTCCTTGCGCTGCACGGAAAGCCAGTTCGTGATTCTTTTGGATCTCTAACGTTTGTTGATGATTCAGCAGGCATTAAGATTTTACAGTCTTGCAATGGCCTATTGTTGTGTTGCAGCAGCCGTCGTATCGGAGAAAACAACCGGAACTACTATATTTACAATCCTACAACCGACCAATACGCTACCATCCCCAAGCCTGGTAATAGAACTCCGAACACTATTTTCGGTGTTGTTTTAGCTTTTGACCCCTCTAAATCGCCTCACCTCAAAGTCGTTTTCGTTCGAAGTTCACGCGCATTTCATCATCTGTATCAATTGGAGATATACTCTTCTGAAACTGGCCTTTGGAGTTACTCTAGTGAAGTTCCCGAGTTCAATTACAGTAAAGGGGCCTATTGTTCTGGTTTCATTCATTGGATGACCTACTCCGGTGCTTCGCTACGCTTCGATGTCGTTCAAGAGAGATTTCAAGAGATACCACTGCCTGATGATTGGAACCAACATGCCGATATCCGATACTTCAAGGAATCCGGAGGGCGGCTGCATCTTATCTTGACAAATAGTAGGCATAGTACCAGGCAGTTTGATGTTTATGAGATGGAAAAAGACGGTTCGAGGTGGTTCGTGAAGTATAGAGTCGACCTCGATGCACTTATATTGGAATACCCAGAGATGATCCGTAGCAACTCGGTCCCTTCCGATTGGGATTATCATGCATTTAGAGTACTGGCTGTTGTCAGTGAAGAGAATAAAGGGTCATTCATGGTGTTACATGTACCAGGCAAGGCCATCTCGTACAATTTCAAACATCAAACATCAACCTTACTCCATGATTTCGCCCCCGGTTGCACACACATCGACGGCTGTGTAACAATAGAAACCGACGACTCTTTTCCCTACTTCGGAACTCTCGCGACGGTACGGAGTCTTGGGCTTGATCGAAAAGATACATAAAAGTAGGCTCATATGTTCTATCAGTCCATGATTGTATCAGAATTGACTAGGAAATCTGAACCTAATTTAATACATATGCCTAATATGTCGGAACATCCAACCCTTTATAATTGATACATTGTGTTCGTCAAAAGATATACATTATCACATCAACAAATTAAATTGTCACGTCAATATGATAAATTGAATTGAATTAAACTCGAATAGCTCGCTATTTGTCATGTCTCTTTTAAAACCTTAAATCAAGTAGGACATTATGAGATGTTCCTTTCTATATTTTTTTTTTATCAACATAAACTTTAGTTAAGAAAGTATGAAATGAAACTCAATGGGTAGTTTCATTGACAAATGATAACATTTTTTTATAGGTGATTCGGATTTGAGCAACATTATATGTTATGTGTTCGTGAGTTTATACAATTCCCGAGGTAAGAAAGATTGTGAGGATAGGGATCGATCTTTTTCATGGAAACAAATCATATTTCGAAAATATAATAACATACCAACATTCACTCTCTTTTTTGTTAATCAAATGTCAAACAGTCTTTTATGGTACAGTTGCATATGTGCATGCTTTTACAAGCTACAACACTAACATCCCTGCTGGGTACACCACAATTATTCCGGCAGGGTACCTGAAACAATCATAAAGGGTTTTACTAGGGAATGTAGTACATAGGATTCGGTAACTTGAACGAACGACTCGATGGGGCGGCACCCAATAAATCGCTCCATTGATCTCCGGAGTTGCCCAGAATTCTATACCCTTCTTCTACCATCTCACTCCTTTTCTCCGACTTAAACGCCATTGCTAGCTCGCCATGGTGTTCGGGGTCTCTGCATAGAAAGATAATACAGGGATCAGTTCGTGATTAACAGCATCGGTGATCACGACACCTGCTGGATAAAGAAAACATTCCGAGAAGCAAAAATACAGAAGACATTGCTTCATGAAATGAAAACTAAGCTAAGAAGCAAAGACGCTACTGAAAATCAGATCAGCTGCGTATAACAAAAGCTGATAACCACAATTATGCTACAAAGAAGCACTAGAAGTATAAATAAAACGATTTCGAGCCTTCCCTTAAATTCCATTGCCAGAACACGAAAAAAAAACATGCTTTCGTATAGTTTGCAGTGAAACCAGTGATAGATAAACCTAAAGTTAAATGTCTCTCATGATATGCAGGAAGGCGCAAACATACTCTAAAGCATAACATAGCATAGAAACTAGTATCACATAACCGACAATTAGAACTCTATGCAAACCACTATATAAACACCATTGCAATCCAACAAGCTCAGCAACAGTAAAACCTTCCCCTGAATTCCATTGCCGAAACTCAAAAAAAACATGATTCCATAGTTTGGCAGTGAAGTCAGTGATAGACAAACCTAAAGCCAAATATCTCTCATGATTTCACTTCGTGCAGGAAAGCGTGAACATATTTTAAAGCATAACATAGCAGAGAAACCGAAAATTAGGGATCTTTGGAAACCACTATATAAACACCAATGCAAATTTGCAATCCAACAAGCTTAGCAACAGTAAAACCTTCCCTTGAATTCCATTGCTGAAACTCGAAAAGAATACGGATTCGTGGTCTAGCAGTGAAGCCAGTGATAGATAAACCTAAAGCCAAATGTCTCTCGTTATTTCAATCCATGTAGGAGCCAGGAGGACATGAACAAATTGAAAGCATATCATAACATAGAAACTAGTATCAAAGAACCGAAAATTCGAAATCTATGAAAACCACTATATAAACACCATTGCAATCCAACAAGCTTAGCAACAGTAAGAACTTCCCTTGAATTCCATTGCTGAAACTCGAAAAGAATTCACATTCGTGGTCTGGCAGTGAAGCATGTGATAGATAAACACAAGGGCAAATGTCTCTTATGATTTCGCTCCATGTAGGAGCCATGAAGACATGAACAAATTGAAAGCATAAACAACATGGAAACTGTTGAAAACATTTTGACGTTTCGATATAACAAATTAAGTTAAATGAATTTTAAGATTTTACAAATGATTTTCTAAGTATATTCGATTTAATTACTCGAATATCAAAATATTACTCCAAGTCTTTCAAAGTTCAATTTCGATCCTTACTAATGTGTAAAATTGTGTTTTATACTTAAAATATTTTTGAAACAATTTTCACAAAGTATTTCGAACAAAAAACGAGTCAAAAATCAAATTTGTGAAGGGATGCACCGATGCACTCATTGATGCATCGATGCACTCACCATATCGAATGCATTTTATGCATCGATGCACTACCATGCATCGACGCACTCAGGTTTTATGAAAACATCGAATGCATTTTATGCATCAGGTTTTATGAAAACATCGAATGCATTTTATGCATTGATGTACTCTTAGTGCACCGATGCACTAAGGGTCCAACGGTCGAAATATTTAAATTTTACACATAGTGTACCGATGCACTAGCCTTATGCATCGATGCACTAGACGCTCCCACTGTTTTATTAATTGTTTTTCACACTTAAACGACTCTATTGACTCCACTAATCATTTATGACGTCTAGAATCAATTGAAGGAGTATTTAAACAAGCTTAGAAGCCATTGATCAATAAGAAGAGATAACAAGAAACAAGAATCAAGAGAGAATCAAAGAGAAAGCATCAAACCTCAAGTTTGAGCATTTTCAAGCCTATTTCATTCAATATTCATTTTTGCTTTCAAGAACACTTATTGTGCTCAATTGTATTATTCTTGAGTGTTCTTTCTTTGTTCTAGAATTGTGCAAACATCTTGCCTTGTGAGGATTTTCTTGTAAGTTTGCAAAATTTGTATTGTTCTCTTTGAGAGAGAGTGTTCTCAAGAATTTGGGGTATAATTCTTGAGGGATTTGTAAGGTTACTCTTTGTCCTCAAAAGAAAGACAAATTAGTGAATTTGTAGAAAATCTTTAGTGTGGATAGCTAAGGTAGTGGACGTAGACTTTGGTTGACAAAGTCGAACCACTCTAAATCGTTGCACAATTACTTTCACTTTTCTGCAAAAGCTTCCACAGAAATTTTTAATTACCAATTCACCCCCTCTTGGCCATATTCGTCGATCGATTAACTCAACAATTAGTATCAGAGCCTCACTTATTTGAAGGTTTAATCGCCTCTTGAGTCTATTCGGGAAGAGTTACATCGATAATCAAGTCATCCATGGCATGTACTTCAAACTCCGACTTCGGTCTTGATTCATTGCCCGTTAACAAGCCTCCTTTCTTCAATGGAGCTAATTATGCTTATTGGAAGAATAGGATTGTAACATCCTCAATACCGGGTTAGTGACCAAATTACAAAGTTTCAGAATCTGGTGATTAAAGTAGAAGAATGGATTAGTTCAATGATTTATCTGAAAATAAATCCTAAAAGATGTTAGTAATTATAAAAGGTATTAAAGGGCAAAAGGGTCATTTGACCAAGAGATGAATTAAATAATGATATATATATATGGATAAGGATGAGAGATTTTCCAGAAATCTCTTCTCTCTTTTCTTCTTCATTTTATTTTTCCTCCCGTGAAAGCTCCAAGGCAAAGGTAAGATTCCTTGTTAGCTGATGATTTGTTGATTTTAAGAGTGGGTTTTGATCCTTAGGTAATACTTAAGATTATGGAAAGCTTAGGTTGTCCTAAAATCAAAAGATAAAGGAGATAGAGAAGATTAAAGATTAGTGGTTCTTGAATGAAATCTTGAAATAGAGTTTATAATAAGAATTGAAAGTTGGATTTGACTTGTCATCAATCTAAGTAAGAGATATGAAGTAATATAATTGGATTTGAAACAAGTTGCAAAATTGATGTAATTATTGAATTACATATAGAAGATAGGATTTTGAGGTTTAAGATGAAATAAATAAGTATAGATTGCTTTAAGTATGTGTACTAGAGTTAAGAATGAAAAAGGGGATGAAACATGAAGGATTTAATCCAAAATGAATGATTTTCGGGTTCAAAAAAGAGGATTCTGGGCAGAGTGCATCGATGCATATTCATTGTGCATCGATGCATCAAGGTTAAAACCCAAAATTTTGTTTGAAGGTGTATCGATGCATAGGTAGTGCATCGATGCACTCTTTTAAAATAGAAACATCGAATGCAATTAGTGCATCGATGCATAAGGCATGCATCGATGCATCCCAGTGATAATACAACATCGAATGCATTTTATGCACCGATGCATCAGTAGTGCATCGATGCATACTTTCATTGAAAGATGAAATTGGCATTTTTCTTAGTCTAAGGAGTGAACCACTAGAGTATATTAGTTATAATACTGATATAGATCTATGAATGATTATGTAGATATAGAACGTGATCCCATTCAGAAACAATTGAAGGATTAGAATCGAATCAAAGCAAAGCTAAGGTGAGTGCAATTTATTTTGTACTTATTTTATTGAATTAACATTGGCTTACGATGAGCCAGTGATGGAGTTACTATGGTAAGAAGTAACTTCTAAATTGTTATGTGATTACCATGTATGCATTAATACATAGAAATAGATGGATGCTATGTTATATGATTTATATGCTTAAGTGAAAATGCAACATATGATATATGTTATTTGACATGACATGCATGGTTACATGAAAGAAAGCTATGTGACTACATGTATATGTGAAAGAAGCTATAAGCTTATATGCACATGTGATATATGTGATATGAATTACATGAAATGATTTACGTGAATACATGTATATATAATACATGTGATATGATATGAGATATATGGTTACACATACATGTGGTATGTGACAGAAGAGAAAGAACAAGTGATACGAGATGTATAAATAAATGCCCATAGTATATGATACGAGAGCTATAGGTATAGTTGGCATGCCAAGAGTCGAGGGTTTACCTATGTTGAAAGGAGCATATGGATAGTTGCCGAGGATCTTTATGACCTCTGGATAGTTACCGGGGTTCTTTGTAACCTCTGGACAGGTCCTTCGGGACGAATACTGAACGAATGTTCGGTGCCCCATGAGGGAATTTATACGAGCTGTGGTGACAGCATTAGTGCACAACCTCAATGTACTCACATACCTCTATTCTCAATAATATACATGGGCAATAAAATTGAAAGACAAATGAAAGTGAAAGTGATACAAGAAGGTAAGTTGCATGTGTGCATGACCTGATTGTATATTGTTATCATACAATAGATTCATGCATATTGATATGTCATGATTCAATGATATGAATGCACATACATGAATTATATGATGTTATGTGTGTTTATGGGTATAGTGATATATGTGTTATATGATGAGTATATGGTAAGTGGAAAGGATTATTGATAGTGTTTGCATATGTATGTCTTTTATTTATATGAAATGATATATGGTTATATTATATGTTTTATATGCCTCACTAAGTCTATGACTTAGCGTGTAAGTGATTTACACGTAGGTACCAAGAAACGAGAAGTGAAAGAATAGAAGTGGCAAAGACAGTATCACTACTAAAAGATCAGATCAGAAATATTTTGACAAAGTATGTATTTGGTTATGTATAAAGTGTTGGCATGTAATAAGTCATTAAGTACGAGCACTCTGATAAAGTCTGTATTTTGTTTTAAATAAAGTTTTAAATTTCCCGGGATTTTTCTTAAGAGTCAAGGTTTGAAAAGTCAATGTGACACGTCGGACTCGTATCCGGGTCGGATACAGGTTGGGGTGTTACATTTAATGGTATCAGAGCTATGGTTTTAGCTGATCCTAGGCTTAAACCGAAGTCAAATGAGTTTTTAAAATGTGTACATGCCAATATAGAGTGAAAATTTCTGATCTGATAGGGTAAGGA